AACATAACATAACATAACATAACATAACATAACATAACATAACATAATTATTATTATTAATAATAATAATAAATAAAATAAAAATACAACAAAAAATTTTTCCAAAAGGGGGACGCGGCTCAACTATAGGACATCCGGCCTTTGTTGTAGGTCAAACTCCTAGGCGTGCCAACCGCCTCATTGATTATTATTATTCTGTGTTTTCACCCTTTACTATGGCAGAGGGCAATCCCAGAGGACCTTCTTTGAAGGCCAAGTCAAAAACGCACCATTTGCGCAGACAGGCCAAGGAGTCATCCAAGCATCCCAACGGGACGCATTAAGGCGCCACAAGGCCCTGGAGAAGGAATTTGACAAACGCTCCAGGGACTCTCAATCTGTACCCCCAGCAGTGCTCGCTTTGGCAGCACATATACTAAAATTGGAACGATACAGAGAAGATTAGCATGGCCCCTGCGCAAGGATGACACACAAATTCGTGAAGCGTTCCATATTAATACTCTTCCCACCCCCTCTGCTACTCACCCCCCCTGCCAGATCAGCTATCTCTTTCCAGGCGCAGTTCGCCCGCTCCGTGCCTCCTAGCCATCCGGACTCCTGAGGCAACATTCACACCCACCGGACCAAAGGAACCATCCACAGACCTGATTCCAGACCGGATTAGAGATTGGATGCAACTGGCCATCCACCAAGGAATCGCGGAAGGTCTCCAACAGATCGCCAGACCAGGCCCTCAAGCGATGGCTCCTGATGTAGTATCCGTCTCTGGCAGATCCCTCCCAGGACCGGAACCTCACTACGGTCAGGTACTTCCCCAGAGGGAAAACCCCCTTCCTAGAAAGGGAGGAGGAGGAGGAGGAAGAGCAAACAGGCCTGGAACTCTTCAGGGAAGAGGAGGAATTAGATAGGGGGTCCTTACTCTACTCTGAGCCTATGTCAGAGGTGGACCCGATGGAAGGAGAAATGTCAGAGGTCGAGGGTATTTCTCCTGAACAGCCCACCTTCACGGGCCTGTTCAAACCCCATCTAAGTTCAAGTCCTTGTTGTTCAGGGCAAAAAATATTTTGGGTCTGGTGTTTCAGTCACCCGCTGATATTTCCCCAGCAGCCTCTGGAGCTCCAGAGGACTCTATTTTCAAGCACCCGGTCGTGGAGACCAAAGTTATCCCTACACCACCCATTTTCTCCGACTTGGTAGCGAAGCAGTTAGCCTCAACCGGGCCCCCACCGCCCCCTCCAGCCAGGACAGGAGATTTTTCAATCTCGACGCGGAGTTCTCCTCCTTGTTAGACACTCCCGAGGTGGATGAACCCATAGTGGGGTTATCGTCATCCTCTACCCCAACCGACACTCTGGAAGCCGGAGGACAAACGGGCTGAGATGGCGCTACGCTGGACACATCAATTCGATGCTTGGAACATTCGATCAGCCACGGCCGCATCCTTCTTTACCCGACCCTCCATTAGATGGCTCTGCCAGTTAAAGCAACATGTTCCCCCATCTAACACAGGGCACACCAGGTTATTGCCAAGCTTATGGCTGCAGCGGAATTTGTGGCGACGCTACCTTCCATTCCGTCAAATTTTCCTCCCGGGCTATCTCTTCACACGTTACAGCCCAGCGTCTGCTCTGGCTTAAACACTGGCAAGCAGACGTTAAAAACAAAGCTAAATTGGCCTCGGCTCCCATTTCAGGAGGCAAACTATTTGGTCCGGCCCTGGAACCCTTGTTGATGGAGAGCCGCAATAAAAAGAAATTCCTTCCGTCTCTCTTTTGCGGACCAGAGCCCAGAGTGTCCCAGCCCTTTCGTAGGGGCTCCTTTCGTTCCTCCTATCAGACACCCTTCCCCCCCAGGTTTCAGAGAATCCCATCCCTTCGACCGGTCTATCAGGACCAAATTGACACAGGGGACAGGAATAAGAGGGGGGCCAACTACAAGAGGTCTTTCCGGGGCACAGGAAGTAAATCATCCCAGCGCCCCAGATAAGTCCCTAGCGCCCTATCCCATTGGCGGATGCCTCAAGTATTTTGCCGACCAATGGGAATCATCCACTCTGATGTTTAGGTTAGGGACACTGTCAGATTCGGCCTTTCCCTTGAGTTTCAGTTTCCCCCCTCTCCAAGGACCGCACCAAGCAGGCTCTAGTAGAAGCCGCTATCAAACACCTCACCGAGATCAGGGCCATCAACCCGTCCCATCCTCGCAGCGAGGAAAGGGTTTTTTTACTCCCACCTCTTCATAGTTCCCAAACACTCCGGGGGCTGGAGACCTATCCTAGATTTGAAGGGACTGAATCATTACATTGTCTGGCATAAGTTCAAAATGCATACAATTCAGTCTATTCTTCAGGGCACCAGGAAGGGAGACTGGCTCACCTCCATTGACCTCTCAGAAGCATACCTCCAGCTACAATGGTCACCACTTTCAGTATGTGGTCCTTCCCCTTAGTTTGGCCTTGGCACCAAGAACCTTTACCAAGGTTCTGGCAGCCCTAGCGGCTCACCTCAGACATTTCCCCATCCGTGTTCACTGTTATCTAGATGACATTCTCATCCTTTCCCCTTCCAAGTGCCAAGCAGAAGGGGACATTAGAGCTACCTTTTTGGTTCTTGAGACCCATGGCCTCCTCGTAAATTGGGAGAAGAGTCAGCTTTCGCCTGCCACCCGAATAGCACTTAGAGGCAGTGATTGACTCAGTTAAAGGGAAGGTCTTCCTTTCCCCGGAAAGGTTTCTCAACATTCAGACATCGGTCAGACAGATCAGAGGGGCAAAAAAAAAAGGGGGGGGGGGCGTTTCTACTTGACTTATCAAAGTTCCTTGGCAAATTGGTCTCATGCGTATCCATTGTTCCCTGGGCCCGTCTGCATACTAGATCTCTACAGTGGTTCCTGCTGCCATATCAGCGATCCAAAAAAAGCGATTCAGGAGTCGTGGTGAGGGTTCCTCCAAGGGTTCTCGCATCGCTCCTCTGGTGGTCCAGACCCGCTACCAACAAGGGCCATCCCTTCAAGGAGCCCCCAAGGGTCACCCTCACGACAGACGCCAGCCTATCCAGAGGGGGGGCCCATATCCACTCTCAGCTCAGGGCATCTGGTCAGCAACTGAGCAATGGTGCAGCATAAACTCACTGGAGCTTCACACAGTATACCCAGCCCTACGCACTTCCTTCCTTAAGTATGTGGATGCCACGTACTGGTCCTGACAGACAACATTACGATCAAGGCTCATATTAAAAAAAAAAAAAAGATGGGGGCATACATGCCATCCGTCTCATGAGGGAGGCCGAGCGTCTCTGTCACTGGGCGGAGACCAACCTATTGTCCATCAGGGCAGATCACATCTCAAACGTTCGGGCAGACTGGTTGAGCAGGGCCACCTTAGACTAGGCAGGATGGCGCCTACATCCCTCCCTGTTCAAAATAATGATGCAAAGGAGGCCTCAGCAATATTAGGCCACCCCCCTAGTGGGCCTGTTCGCGTCTCCGCTCAACACCCAGATACCGAGATTCTTCTCATGGTACCCCACCAAAGGGGCAGAGAATCACAACGCCCTACATTGTCCCTGGCCCACCGGGTTCTTATACGCATTTTCCCCACTACTATTAATCCCCAAAGTGATCCTAAAGCTGATCCACGAGAGGGCAGGACTCCTCCTGGTTACCCCGTACTGGCCCAGGAGACCGTGGTTTTTGCAACCTTCATAGCCTTTTAGTGGCCCCTCCATGGAGGATCCCTCCGGGCAGGATCTCGCTATCCCAAGGACCTCTTCAGCATCCAAATCCTCAGTGGCTTCAGTTAGCCGTCTGGAGGTTAAGCGGGACCATCTAAGAAAGGAAGGGTTTTTTTTTTTCCAATCAGGTCATTGGGACCATCTTGGCAGCGAGACGGCCTCAGCTACCCGGATGTATAATGCTACCTGGAGCATTTTCTGTAAAGGGTGCCACAAATCACGCATTACTCTGCTGTCCCCAGCGGTTGCTCAAATTTTGGCCTTCAGGCAAGGAGGACTGGACAGGGGCCTCTCCCTCAATACTTTCCGAAGGCAGGTGGCAGCCTTATCAACTGTCATTTCTGGTGACTCCTATGAACCATTTTGCACCACCCTCATATCTGGCCATTCCTTAGAGGAGCCACCAATTTGCATCCTCCAGTACTACACAGATATCCAACCAGGGATCTTAACAAGGTTCTCACGGCACTGACTAAAACTCCTTTCGAACCCCTAAGAGAGGCATCACTTCAATTCCTTACGTTCAAGGTAGTGCTTCTCGTAGCAGTTACATATGCACAGAGGATATCTGAAACAGCAGCTCTATCCATTAGAAAGGATCTCTGCGTTTTCCATGCTGATCGGGTGGTCCTGTGACCAGACCCTTGCTTCCTGCCCAAGGTTGACTCAGCCTTTCGCAGATCACAGGAACTCATTCTTCCTAAATTTTGCCCCAGGCCTTCTCCAGAGAGGGAAAGGCAGTGGCATTCCCTCGATGTCGAACATGCGTTACGTATTTATATCAATCTCACTTGTCCTTTCAGGAAGTCAGAATCATTGTTCCTGTCATTCCAACCAAAGACGCTGGGTTTCAAAGTATCCCCGTCTACTGTAGGCTGTTGGATCAGAGCTACAATCTCCAAGGCCTATCTAACTCAGGCACTTCCTGTTCCCAGGGGAATAACCGCACGTTCTACAAGGAGTGCGGCTACCTCGGCAGCCTGGGCTACCCAGGCTTCGATACATGATATCTGCCGAGGGGTCACCTGGCCGTCTCCATCACCTTTTATTCGTCATTATAAAAGCGATGTTTTTGCTTCAGCAGAAGCATTCCTTGGCAGGCGAGTCCTGCAACAAGTGGCAAGAGAACTAGAGGATATTCCGACCCAGACAGAGTCCCTCCCATAGGACAGGCCATGCTTTGGTATGTCCCACTCTGGATGCTCGCAGCAGCTCTATGGAGAATGGGCATTGGTGCTTACCTGATACGCCCTTTCTCGTCGAGCTGCATGGAGCTTCCAGCCCCACCCTAAATTGTCTGTCTGGTGGGGAATCCTGTTTCAGCCAATGATTCAAACAGTTAAGTAGTTGTGAGCGGCTACAATAGTTTAGAGGAGATAATAGTTGTTTGTCTTCTCGTCTTGGTAAAACTGGGGAACGCTACGGAGGTGTCACGTGGAGGAGGAGGAACGTTCCTCAATTCTAGCTCAGCCTGTAAGAGCGGAGACTGGAGCACCTCCCACTCTGGATGCTCTACGCAGCTTGACGAGAAAGGGCGTATCAGGTAAGCACCAACGCCCATTCACCCCAGCCCTTCTTCGGTCCAGCTCCCTCCTGCCCTCCTGTGCTGCAGCAAACCTTTCACACTCACCTCGTTTCCCCACTGCATTCCCATGAGGCCTGCTCCCACATCTCCTTTTGGGAGCCTGCCTGATCTCCCTTCTAAGGCTAGCCGAGGTCTGCTGCCTCCTCTTCCCTCCCTGGTGCGCCCCCACTTCCCAAACCAGTGGGTAAAGAGAGGTCAGCTGCCAGGGTGCCCAGAAAAGGTCTGGCCTGGGGAGGGGAGGGTGGTGGTGGGAACCGCGCAGATGCTGAGGCCTTCCCTCGCCAGAAGGGCTTGACTGACCCAGTGCAGGGACGAGGGCTAGCAGGGGTGGTGTTTGTGTGTGTGTGTGTGAGAGAGAGAGAGAAACTCAGCTTGCTTCCCTTCTGCTAAGAAAAGTTTGCAGCCGCTCTCCCACGTGCACTTCCCTCGCCACAAAGCCGATGGCTGGTGACTCTGCCTTTTGGGAGCTTCCATCACTCAATAAAAATGGTCTCGAGGAGAGTGCCCGTGGGGCGCTCCTCTCAGGAGCACCCTGTGGGCAGCCACGCCTCATCCCAAAGCAGCTGGTGACTCTGCCTTTGGGGAGCTTCCATTGGCTGATAGAAACAGCTTCGTGGCAAGGTGAGTGTGCATCGGTGCTCGCCCCGAGGCCGCTTCTACCAGCCGATAGACGCGGCTGGTGACTCTATCTTTGGGGAGCTTCCAGTGGCTGCCTCATGGAGAGGTGAGTGCGCATGGGGCGCTCTAAGTGGAGGTGTGCTTTGGGGAAGAAATTAAGTCACCCCGTCCTAGCCGTTTTTTCGGGGCTCAAAAAAAAAAAAGACCCGGCCTTATTTTATTAGAAACACGGTGTTTAATGACCCTGGGTAATTCACAAGTAAAAACAGTAAAAACAAGGGTAAATTGCATATGAGACAAAAATAAAAGAATAAAAAGTGGCAAGAATTTCAAGAACCAGACAGAATAAAAAGGAAACAAACTCATGCAATCCAAGCATGTTTCACAATTTTTATGAAATTAATTACCTAAATTGTAAGAGTATACAATAGTATTAGTAAAATAAATTTTTGTTAAAAGTTTTACATAGTCTAATACCCTACAAAAAAAGGAGAATATTAAAAAGTATAAGAAATGATATAACTTTTATTTTGGTAAACCAGCACTTAAATTGTTAAAAGTAAGGAAGCAAATAGAAGAAGAGAAAAATTTGTACTGTTTATTTTTCCTTAATTTTTCTGTGTCTTAACTAAATGTTCTCATGTTTTAAATCCCAGTAAAGCAAATTTAGCAGCCATTATATTCTTTGGGCTCTTCATCCAATAGGAGCTGTTAAACCTGGATTAAGCAATAGTTTATGTAAAGCTTCAGATAAAGACTTTTTTTTCCAAATAACTTTTATTTTTCAATATAAGCATACATATTTTATGGGCATTGCATTAACTGGGTCAAGTCTTTTTTAAGCAACAATAACAATAATAGTACAAATAGGTATATGTAATTGTAATCTTCCAACTTCCACAACTTCAACAGGGCTAATCTCTTTTCATAATCCATTTCTCGTTTTCCCATTAATTCATTTATACATAAAATAACTTATTTGTGCTTTGTATTTATAGTCCCTAAATATTATTATTTAATATTTTCAAAGAATTATTCATAGTTCCACCATAACTTCAATATTCCAAATGTGTAGGGTTAATAATAATACTAAATATTAACAATATTTAATCAATCCAAGAATTCAATATCTCAAAATCCCACACAATTTCTAGTCCTTAATATTTTAAATTCATAATATACTTTAACACACTATTAATATTAATAATACAGTTTAATTACCTAATCCTAAATTCCAATCTACTGTCTTGACTTATTTGGATTATATTATTAAATTATATTTTCTATTAGTATATATACTACTATTTTCCCTGTATATATTTTCCCATTTTATTGAAATATTTTCTCATTATCCATCATCTCTTCATCCTTTTGAAATTCCATCATTTATTGATTTTTTAAATCCATCTTTTATCTCTTTCTCTTGGAATCTTGTATCTTTTTGTTTTGTACCTACTAATCTTCCCCTTCTGAGTGCTTTTGTCTCTTTCTTCTGTAGTAATTGAACCTCCATCAACAAAGTTTCTTTCTGTAAAATAAGAATGTTTTTTAATTTTCTTTCTTTCTTTTTCTTTCTTTTTCCTTGCTTTTCAATCTTTTCTTTTCTTTCTTTTCTTCTTTCTTTTTTTTTCTTTCATTTATTTGAATATGTATTGTTGGCTGTTTTTAATTGTTAAAACTAATAAATTGTTTTATTAAAAAAAAACAAAGTTTCTTTTTATTTTTCTTAAGGAGATTCCATCCCCCCCCCCATTTCTTTCTATTCTGTTATAAATTTTAGGGGGTTATGTCTTATTAATCTTCTCTTTTCTTTATTTTTAACTGCTTGCATCTCATTCTGCTTTTCCCATTCCACTGCTTTTTCTAACTTCTCACCTATTTCTTGAATATCAAGTTCTTCTTTTCCCCCAATTGTTGAGTAGCTTCTATATTCATTTCTGTATCTTTAAGCAATTCCTTTGTCTCCTTATTATGTTTTAAAGATTCATGCATATCTTTTAACATAAACAATATTTCTCCATATAGCTCTATTGTCTCTTGTAGATTCATTTTGTAAAACCCCTTATTTTACAATTTACAGTTTATATTTCCCCACTTGTATATCTCCCAATTGTCCAAATTTTAAAGTCTTATTTAGCTGTCTTTCTTTTCTTTTCTTCTAGCACTTTTCTTTTTTTGTCTCATATGTTCTGTTAAATAATATTAAAAATCTAAGTCCAAGTCCAAATTAAGTCCAATAGTCCAAGTCCAAATTAAGTCCAATAGTCCAAATTAAATCATTAGATTCCTCCAATCTTTCAAATCCATAATCCAATAGCCAATTTTACTTAAGTTTAGTTATTTGCAGATTAGTTCCTTTTTATAAATCTTCCAAAGGGCAAAAAAAAAAGGGGGTCAGTAAATGTTTCCAAATTTGTCAACAGTAGAGTTAAGGTCAGGCCGTTCTCCAGATATTGTTGCTTCTATTCTGTGTATTAGGCTTTGTGTGCATTGTAACAACTTTCTCTAGTATGCTGCAGCTATAATGCTGTAGTACTTCTCTTCTTCCAGTAGATGGCTCTCCTTACCCAGATCCAATATTAAGTAGTCTGTCAAAAACAGCGGATTTTCTGATTAAATCCAGGGGGTTTAAAAATACAAATAAACCAGATAAATTCTCCCAGAGATCACTTTTAAAATTATATGAGCTTTTTCCAAGCTTTCTGTATTTTATTAGCTTGTCTCAGGCTTCTTTCACCACTTTGTTCTCAGTTTTTTCCCCTCTGTGTGTCAATCCGCTGCTATCTTAAGCTTAGGAGTTATCTTTTAATATTCTTGTTGTTACGTCCAATCTTTAGAGTAAAAGTTGGTAATTATCTCACCCAGTTTAAATGCTCTGTCCATACACTGCTCCAGCACAAATCTTGTGGTCCCGGTTGTCCCAGCTTCGTGACAGCCAAAAACGTGGCTGTCATCCCTGCTGTCATTCGGAGAGAGCTTGCTTCAGACCTAACAAGGAAATCGTGGTATCCTTGTGGTCAGTGAAGCGCCTCTCCTTCCTTCAGCACCCTTCCAAGGTGGCTATGACTCTGAAGGGTCTCCCGACAGCGGTTACTGGCTGGATTTCATGGGGCACAGCAGAGTCTGCTATTTTCCAGCCGTTCATGCTGCAACATCAACTGGAAGTCAGATAAAGACTTTCTAAGAATTATGTAAGAGCCTGTTTTGTATAGTACTTAATGCAACAGGCTAGAGGGGGGGGGGGATTTTTTATGTGTAGGGAACCTTCCTAAATTTTCCTTTGAGAATTACTGATGGAAGAAAGTTAAATTGGAGCAATAAAAAGCTCTTTCAATATTTCAAAATCATTAGCTGGTCTAAATATTTTACTGACTTGAAGAAGCTTCCTTTGAATACAATTTAATGGAAGGGAAAATAAGTATGGCACGTTGGGAAACATCGAACACAGTTGTGGCAGCACAGCTTTTCTCTACTTTCCCAACGTACCACTGCTGCCTGCCCTGGGCTTCGTCAACCCTGTCCTGTACCAGCTCCAGGAAGGAGGGAACAGCACTGCTCTCTAAGATGTGAGTGCCCCAGGAGGCGGGAGCAGCTTGGGAGGCTGATCCCTGGTGGGAGGGGACAGCCTGTGAACTTGCTGTCAGGCACAGCAACTACAAAGAGGGGCGGGCTTGGTTGAGCAGGTTCCTGTATATTGGGCATGTGGTCAGAGCTCCCCTTCCTCTGCCTCCCCCTAGGTGATCCACGGATGCCACTGACTGGAGCAGTGCAAGGGGCTCAATGGGGTGAGCCTGCAGAGTCAGTGCCTCGAACGACCCCTGCCACCTCTTAGCACCCCCTGCTGGCCCCCTTGCCTCTTAGCGCCCCCCTAAGGCATCCCACCAACCCCCAGGGGGTGATACCACCCACTTTGGGAACCACTGCTACGGGCATATGCTACAGGCCACCCAACCAAGCAGAAGAAATAGATGAACTCTTTACTAATCAATTAACAAATGTATTAGGAAACATACCACAGTAGTAATGGGAGAATTTACCTACCCTGATACCAACTAGGAGACAAATTCTGCACCAAGTGGGAGATCAGAGGTCGAACAGATTCCTAACCAACTTAGCTGATAACTTTGTCATCCAAAAGGTAGAAGAGGGAACTAGAGGAAAAAGTATATTGGACCTAATTCTTACTAATAGAGAAGAAGTAATAGAGGGAATTGAAGTTGCTGGGATCTTGGGTGAAAGTGACCACGTCGTATTGGAATACAATGTATAATGCAAACACAAACAATATAATATAATCCAACTAGTGTCTTAAACTTTAAAAGAGCTGATTTTAACAAATTCAGAAAGAGCCTAGAAAAATTCCATGAATAAAAATCCTAAAGGGGAAAACAACTCAAGAAGCAT